AGCCACGTTTGGGTACTAGAAGATATATTAATTGTTAATTATAGCACAGTCTGTGTGACTTTGTGGTGTTGGTCAAACAACAGTTGAATGTACTGATATTGATTCATATCTCACCAGGAAATCAGTGTCAAATCCTTACATGTTTTTTGAAGCTGGATCTTTTTTTCTTGTTTTTATGATACAGTTTACTCTCTGGACTTGGGGGGATCAATAAATCAAAAACATTTGGCCCACAACAGAGATTTCTAATCAAATGCTTGCATCATTTTCTATTTTTGGAGCTTTTTTATGGCGATGAGCACGTTCTATTTATGTAGAAAATTGGATTTGTTGGTTATGTCTTTAGCTGTATGTAGCTTCTGCGTGTCTGTCATTAATCTGTAATGACCGCAATTAAAATGATGACAGACACCCATTTATCTTGTTGAATATGACGTAACCATAAACAACCTTTGTAGTGTACAAACTTGTAGAGGGTAAAAAAACATGATGAAATGTTTAGTGAATTATGAGCATTCTTGGTTCCTTAGCACATTGCTCTGTTTAGTTAAAACATGTTAAAGTAAATACAACTAAGTTGCAGCAAATTCTGTGTCTGTGGGTTTTTTTTATTTTTTGTTTTTTTTAAGTGATTACCTCAGGTTAACAGAGTATTATTATGAGCTATTCTGTTCTGTCATCTTCCCTTTCTTATTCAAATTATGTGCTAATATGCTTGAGAAACGAGCAAGGTGCAAACATGATGAAGCCTTTTAAGTACATCTAAATATTGCTACAGCAATAATCAATACAGTCGTTTGAAATATCTACAGGAGAAGGTATGATCCAAAAAGTTTACAGTAAACACAGCATGAAGTGGTACTGAGCCCTCATCAACACATGACACTTATGACGTAGTTAAATGGACACCCGGGCCACATTTTACTTGAATCTAGAGCAGTAGAACAGTTAGTGAGCCAGAGTAGACGTCAATAGATTTTCTTCTTCTAAGGTCAGCACAATCCATTAAACCTGCATTAGCAGGCTTCTTGATTTCCACAATGAGAAAACGTGTGATCCAAATATCTGGCTTCTTGATTTCATCGTTGGGATGGCTGTTTGTGCTCTGCACCATGGCAATGGACTATTGGAGGATTACCAAACTCGGAGGGCAAGGAGGCTCGTACATCATCAAAGTGGCCTGGTACTGGTCCAACCTGTGGAGCGACTGTTACACAGATTCTGCGGCTGTGACCAACTGTAGAGAATACCCAGTGCTCTGGAATGTTGCTTGTATGTTGCATTTGCCTCACCAATAATTTTTATATAGATTATGTACATGCAGTCAGGTGATCAGTCATTAGTAATGTTTTTAAGTCTCATTCTTCAAATAATTGTACTCCTGACTATAATTCTGTCTGTTAATCTGTCACTTTGAATAGTATCGCCTAGTTTTGCAATGCTATTGATTAACAAGTAGAGCATGCTGTTGTTATGGATCCAATTTAAAAGTTGTGTTGACTTTGCACCAGTTCCTAAAAGTGATACTATAACTCATTTGAGAGAAAAGAGGTCAGATATTTGGGAATTTATAGAAACGTCTATAAAATACCCTGCAGACTTGCTTTAATATACTTAACCTTTATTTGCTAATGCTAACTTTGAATATATAAAAATTAGAGAAAAGAGCTTTCTCAGTGAGCTCACTTTATGACTTGGCTCTGATTTTGTTAAACTTCCAATTCTGGCGACAGTGGCAGCTGTTCATAAAAGTTTACCTATACCCAATTTTTTTGTAAACATATATTTATTGGATTTTGTATTCATAAATATCAAACACTTTAAATTTCTTGAACATATGGCAGTAAGAAAGCAATAAGAACACAAGACACTCAAAAAAAGAAATAGCCCC